CGCTCCCGTCCGAACATCCGAAGAGTCTCGGGCGGCCGCAAAGGATTTTGGGGCGGGCGCATGCACACTTCAGATGTTCGGCTGGGAGACAAGGAGAGAGACAAGGTAAGTCTATGGAGCAGCGTGCACCCGCAGAGACTCCGTGGGATATCGGAGAAGAGGAGGACAGAGAAGTCGGCGCTGGATCGGAGACCCGCACCAGCGCTGGAGGGACATCTGAAAACCACAGTAAGGAAGAAGATGATCGGATTAAAAGGCATGATTTGAGGTAAGTCCTTACACTAACATTGGGGGGAAGGGGAAAAAAACATCCATTAATGTCACTTTTAAGAAGTGCTAAATATTGCATAAGGCATGCAAAATGGGATTTAACATGGGAAGACTTTTTGGCATTCCTTAAAGTGTAACTGTGACCAGGCTGTGGATGTTTAGTCCTATTTTTAACCAGCAGTAATTGAGTTTTAAACAAGCCCTTGCTTCAGTGTCAGCTACAAAGGTCACAACAGAAGCACTGAAAACATTGTCAATGTCGGTTTCAGCATCCCATGTTACCCTGAGGTCTATTCTCAGACAAAATTGTTAACAAAGGAAAACACTTGGTCTTTTTCTGCTGTCCGCTTTCTTAGTTTCTATTCATACAGGCCAAGTTGAAAAGCCCGATTTTAAGTACTACTTCTCTACAAGTAGTAGCTGAGGCTGAGAGTTTTACATCTGACTTTAACCATGGAAATGGATGTAATGTCTAGTTTGCTATCAAATTCTATTATACTACAGAATGTCACTTCACGGACTTTGTTGCTGCTTCCCTTGTTAACACCAGATGTAGGCAAGCAGCTTCTACATGTGTTCACCTAAAAAATCAGCATAGTGTGATCTGAATTGAGAGACGGTTATAAAAATGTCACATACAAACCTTGTTCACTTTTTTTAATATTTTCACGTCTGCAAAATTTGACTAATGGATAGTTTAGCAGATTTCTTTAAAGAGGATTTAGTTTACATTAAGGAGTGGACAGTTTGAGGTATTACTGTAACGTTAACCTAAGCGTAATCTTTCATATGACTCATTATTTTTTGAGAGGTGATCTTATACCCATTTCTCCTTCTAGTGGCTATTTGTGTCAGGCATGGCAGTATTGCTGCATGACAGCTCTGAAATAAAACTACCATCTTATAAGCTTTGACATTGGTGTCCGTGTTCTCCATTGTCTGAGCATTGGGAGAGTAATGGTAATGCACAATTTCTCTGCGGCATTAATTAGCACAAAACTCAATGGCATCATCTTAAAGTGGACCTTTACACTAAATATCAAATTCTACCAATGTATGATGATTAATAATAACATAGACAGGTCAGGTGTAAAATGCTGTGACTTTGAAATACTTACATTTGCTGAGCATTCACTTCCTGCTTTTAAAAGGGCAAAATGACATCAGTTTGCCAACGCAATGCACACTGGGATTGCCTTATCAGCAGAGCATTGCTGGCAAATCTCATCTGTATTTTCATGAGATCTCTGGGAAAGGCATTTGCCTCCCCTGAGATGCATGGTCACATGTCCTAATCGCACGTCTAGTCACATGTGCCAGGAAGTAAAGCAAGCTAATAACCTGCCCTTAGTAAACATGGCCACTGTCAGAAGACTGGGGAAGAAAAGCGAAATAAGGTATGCAAAGAATACAAAGCCGGCAATTATCTAGAAGTATGTGTTTTGTAGATTGTCATTACTAAACATTTCTAAAGGTGTGTGTGTTGTTATTTTAAAGATATGGGTAAAGGTCCACTTTAAGAGTTGCTGTACACAATTGGTGTATAAATAAGAGTTAGTGGATGTAAAAAGTCTACACACCCTTGTAAAGGAATTGGACAAAAATAAATCAATTTTTCCCATCACCAAAAGAACACCATACTCGCAGTGGAGCATGATGGTGGCTGCATTATGCTTTAGGGTTGGGGGTTATTTTTCAAGCTCGAACTGGGGCTTTAGTTAAAGTGGAGGGACTTATGGTCAGTTCCTCCACCAGAGTCCATTTTGGCACAAAACCTTCAGTCTGCTAAATACGTTGAAGATGAAGAGGAATTTGACCTTTCAGCACGATTTATATTTTTGAGCGTTCGTCGAGCGTAGAATGCGCTTCAAAACGTCCAGGTGTGAACGAGGGCTTAGATTGCTGACTGAAGAGACCGTTTTATGTATGTTCTTGTGTACTTTATAATATTAGAAATCGATCACGTGAATGAATATATAAACAATGTATTCCCTTTGAGTACATATTTCATTTAATAAAGTAAGTGTTTGTGTTTTTTATTTATTTTTCATGAACTACTACAAGGGAATTCTCCCCCCCCCACCCCCTTTTGATTTCAACACATTGCTCCTTTTACTTGTTTGCAATTAAATTGTTTGCCACTAACTGTGAATACCCAACACATCTATTAAAGTTCTATTTCGGCTCTGAATCCAGCCACTGACGGGAACAGTTGCCTGCTCATAACCGAGTCGCAAACATCTGTTCTAGTAAAAGTATCACTTACTCTGAGGATTATAATATAGAAAGGCCTTTCTAAACTGTCAGGATAGAAGCTTGTTTAACATGAAGAACATTGTCCCAAATATAAGTTGGGGTCATTTTTTTTTTTTTCTGGGTTAATATTGTAATGGTCTTTTTTTCTTTTTTGCTTCCACCATAGCCCCTGAAACTTTAATGCGAGCTCTGGAGCTGCTGAATTACCTGGCTGCCTTAAACGATGACGGTGACCTGACTGAACTTGGATCTATGATGGCAGAGTTTCCTCTGGACCCTCAGCTCGCCAAGATGGTTATTGCCAGTTGTGAATACAACTGTTCTAATGAGATCCTATCCATAACTGCTATGTTGTCAGGTAATAGCAGGGTACTTGTAAAGGTGATGCCTGTTTCCCTCAACACACCTTAGTCTGCAGACAAGTCACTATAGGGCTCTCGATTCCTTTATGATTTACATGTTGTGTGGAAAGCAACTGTGGTGTAGTTCATCGGTTGCTTATAAGTATTATTTCCACAACAAGCTCACAGACCACAAACAGTATATGTTGTCTTAAACTCATCACAAGTAATGGGATCAGTGCGGTACTGTTACAAACTTACTGGTTAACACTGCTGGTTTTCTGTGCAGCAGATATGCACTGTTGGTGGTCATTGAGAATTTTTAATGGTGTGTCTTGAGGGAAGAATTGTCTCGCTGTTTGTATTGCCCACATCAACCAATCAGATTCTTTCTTTATGCTTCTGTACCGCACGTTGTGAAGAAAGTTTTTTTTGCTGGTTGTGGGACACACAAACTGCCCGGGTCCCACCGTGCAGGGCATCGGTATGATTTGTTACCTGAATGGTTTACAAGTTAGGTAGTGTCTAATAAAAGTGCTAATTGACACATTCACAGCTACATGTAAAACGCATTACCCCATAAACGCATACATACTTTTATACAATCTAATGTATGCTTTGATAAGGACTTGATATTTGAATGAAATTGATTCATCTACATTTGTCAAGTTTTAATAGCTGATTACCAAGTAGCATTCTTAGTAATAGCCTTGGTTTGTGAGAACGGAACTTTCATATGTAGTTGGGAATGTCACAGCAGATACTCTAGAATGTGCGCCGTGTATTGACAGATGGCAGAGAAAGTTTTAGCAGTCAGTACAGTATGACACTTCTGAATTTAGCCTAAAAAGTCTATATAAAAAACATTGGTAACATGTTTTCTTGTTTGCTGCAGTATGTAAATCTTTTTTCTTAGCTGCATAATCCCTTATCGTTCTTTTTTTAGTGCTGTTTTTCAGATGAATCAGACTCAGAGCAGACGGGCAGGGCAGAGCTATTTTCTTAAGTTTGTCTGGAGGTGGTGGCAGTCTAGTGCTTGTAGGCAAGTTTTACACGGCTCCAAAGGGTATATAAAATGTGTCCTCTGCACAAAGTTCCCATACCATCTGCATGTCCATTTTAACAGGATTGAGTTTGCCATAAAGATTCAAATGTGATTACATGCTATACCTATTCTTGCAGAAACAATTGCCATACAAACGACTGGTATCGCAAGCTGCACAATGTTTATTCCCAAAGTCAAAACATGCTGTAGACAAACACAGGCTCCTACAACTCTAATACTAAGCGTTAGTTCACACCATATGCAGTGCGTTCCGATTATGGCCAGAACGCACTGCCTTGCATTGCGGCCGGCTCACTTTGCCGGGCAGGAGGGGGCATGACGGGCCTTTTGAAGTGAATGGCACCGTAGCCACTCCCTCCGGCCGCAATGCGATTGCCCGCACGGGATCGCAAGGCACATTGTGCCTGCAGTCCTGTGCGGTGCGATCAAAATAATACTTGCAGCATTTTGATCGCTCCAGACCGCACTGCAGGCACAATGTGCCTTGCAATCCCGTGCCGGCGAACGCATTGCGGCCGGAGGGTTTGTTTACAGAATGTTTTGACTTCTGGAATAAACAGTATCCAGCATGTGATACCAGTCGTTTGTGTGGCAATTGTTTCTGCGAGGACCAGTATCAAGCTGCAGCGTGCCTTTCTTGCCTGCACAGACAAGAGGCATGGGGCTGTGTGACCGCAGGACAAGGAATATGATCGGTTGTTTGTAAGATTTGTTTACGTACTATACCTAGTTGGCTTTTAACCTTGGACACCTGCTGTTCTCTGAAATATAATCTTTTCACCTAACTTTTGTTTTGGTCACTGCATTGAGTGACATCCTAAAATGTCACCTAAATGACAAAGTGGAGGTAATCTTGCTCTTAAAATCTATACAAATCTTAAACTTTTAAACAAAAGCATGCTGTATTGCTTAGTGTGGCCAAGATACCTTTTCATAACTAAATAAAATGTTATAATGCAGGTTTTCTGAGGGCCACTTTGTCAATAATAACAGATGGCTGCTGAAGCAGTAGAGAGGTGTGTGTGTGTTTCTATTTTGCAATAGTTAGGCTGGGTTCACACCTAGGCGTATTGAATATGCCCGTTTGTCGCGCGTTTTTTTCCCCCGCGATTCGCAGTAAAAAAACGCACGGCAAACGCGCGTTTCCGAGGGCTACTTGGCTGTATCCCAATGGAAATGCCCAACAAAAACGGCCCAAAGAAGTACATGTACTTGTTTGAGCGTAGGGCGTTCAGACGGGCGGAAATACGGAAAGGTGTGAACTATACCCATAGAAAACAATGGGATTTTCATGTTTGTACGTTTTGTAGAGCGTTCATAGAGCCTTGAACGCGCGACAAAACGTTAAGGTGTGAACAGGGCCTTAATGATGGACAGGCAGATGGTATGCAAGTCCTGCATTAGTGACCTTAAACTCAGGAGTTACATCTCTAAAATGCATTCAAGTACCCTAACGAATTAACAACAATGTATCTTATGTGTGTATCACTCTGCTGTAGATCATCAAATCATCTCTGAATTCCTGCTGACACTGTCCTTCCTTCTGGAGGGTGGCTACTTTTGTATCTCATGGCCTTGTGTGTGTTGTGAAGTAGCCACCACTCCAAGCCCATTCCCATAATGGTTTACAAGCTCATGTTTAGTTTACTAATTTGTATTGAGATTGTAGTCTATCACAGGAGTGATCTCGGAGTGGTGACTACTTTACAGCACACACAGGAGCCATAAGGAACAAGATTAGCCACCCTCCAGAAGGAAGGGCAGTGTCGGCACCAATTCAGAGATGATTTGAGGATCTACAGCCGAGTGATACACAAATAAGATGCATTTTTGTTAACAGTTCGGTTACTTTAATGCATTTTTAAGATTTAACTCCTGAGTTTAGTGTCTCCATAAGTCTCGGCAGTTGGGTCACACAAGTTGTCTTGAACCTAGTCATCAACTATATTACATACAGTGTTTTATAGGAAGCAAGTGATGAGAGTTTATGGGGGCTGCCATTGCTAACGTCCTGGCGGTCCCTGGTTCCCATCCTAGAACAACCTTGCATCAAGGAAGCTTGGTGACATCTGGACAGCTGGTCTGCTCACTTGTTTTCTAAAGGAAAGTTCAGGAGTGGCAGTTTGCATAATTCCGTAGACTTTTCCTTTTAAATCATTTTATCCGAATTTCATTAGTATTAAGAATCTTCCTCAAAATGTTTGTTTCAGCTTTCATCTGTGTATGCGCGCCTGATGATCACACACAAACATTTCATGCCAGCGATGTGTTTTAATTTAAAATCGCAGCATGTTTATTTCCCTCTCTGCTTCTGCACTCTAGATCGTCTCGGTGTGGCAGTCAATGGGAAACACTTTGTTCTTGTCATACAAGCAGGATTTTTGGTCTCCTTACAAAGTTGCAGGCATGGAAAGCTCCAGAGAGGCCCAAACAAACGTCTGGTGATCATGGTATCTTTTTAACCAGAGCCAGCGAGTTAAATTTGAACTCCGGGTTAAATTAAGTCACATTTGGAGTGGGGATCCCCTTGCCCTGGAAGGCTTAAATGCTAATTTTTGTCAAGGGGGAACATTAGCATCAATTTTCCTTTCCATTCTCACAAGCTTTCTCCCAGCTACAGGGCCATGTCTCTTTAGGCTTCATTTACACGAGAAAAGGCCGACACATACAGCTCCGTAATGCGTGCACGGCGGTTTCGGGCAGCTACCAGGAAGGACAGGTGCTGCGTGTGATTAGTATGCAGCCCATGCCCTTCTCTATGGGAGTACGTGGCCTTACGCTCACCCCAAGTGCAGGTCCGTACAGGTGCCGGTGTCCCGGCTTGGACGCATACAGGATCCACCCTGTCAGCGTAGGAGTACGGACACTTGCACCCACATGGACGTGTAGGGTGGTGTACGGCGGCTTACTCCCATAGAGAAGGAAACGTGCTGCATACGGCCGCGTACTCCCATACAGAAGGACGGGCTGCGTACTAATCATTAGCAGCACCTGTCCTTCCCAGGAGCTGCCCGATGCTGCCGTGCACATAGCACGGAACTGTACGTGCCGGCCTTTCTCGGGTAAATGAGGCCTTACTGCTCTGTTGTGGGCGCTCAGACATGTCCAATGCAGGAATGTCAGTCTTGCATTGCAAGTAGGGCCCGGTTCACACCTGGGCGTTTTACAGCGCGTTCCTATGCGCTGTAAAACACTCAACATGTGAAAACCAATAATTGCCTATGGGCATGGTTCCCACCTGGGCGTATTTTAGCACGCCCTACGCCCAAAGAAGTACAGGAGCTTCTTTGGGGTGTATTTTCCGTGCGTATCCATTAGGATACAGCCGGATAGCCCTTGGAAATGCGCGTTTGTCACACGTTTTTTTTTTTTTTTTTACCGCAAATCTCTGTAAAAACGTGTGGCAAATGCGCATATTCCGTACGCCCAGGTGTGAACCCAGCCTAAGGGTGCTGTGAGCCCACCCACTTTTCGGAGAGAAGAAAGCGTTGGCTGCTGGGGTAGTGAGGGATAGGGTTAGTAAAGGTGTGTGTTCCATATATATCCAAACATGCATTTAACCCTTGCAGTGTGGAAGGAGGTGCGCCGCAAGGTCAAGTTTTGATTTTAACCCGAGTTCAGCTTTAACTTTTCAAGTGGCACACAGACCTACGCTGGTTCTATTTCATATAGTTGGGTACTAAAACCCCACAAAAACAATGGATTAGTACACAATCGGGCCTGCAGGAAATAATGTACCTTTTTATAAAGGGGTATATACTTTAAAATAGTTGAGGGACCCTGTTGTGAATTTGACATTTGTTTTATTTTCAGTATGTAAGCACGTGCAAGAAAAGGTGCCTCTGTAACTGTAAATGACCTAAATTTACTGCATTTGAATATTTATACTACAGTCAACTACTGCCACCACCTCCACACCCCACCAGCTGTGGTTTTATGCAGCTGAATACAAGGAATAGCCATTAGTGGCCACAAGGCTGCAACTCGGTTTATAGGGTCAGGTGTGATGAGGCAGCCGTTCTGGATCATTTTATTGACACCTTGTGATTTTAATGCATACAGTTGCTCCAATGATGGCTGTCATGTTGTTACCTACAAGTATTAGCTCTTATAATCAGGTTCTCTGTAGTTGTGAAACCCTCTTGTCTTGCAGATGTGGTTAGTTGTTGATGTAGTAAGCAGCCCAAGATGCAGTTGGAGGCCAATCCTGCCCTGCCCTATGCTCTGTGCACTGACCTAGCTAGGCCTTGTTCCTCTGTCAGTGAATGCTTGACTCATCGATATGGGCATTTGTGTTGGGCCCATACCAACCTTGTTTAGTCCCACAGTGTTTTATTCGACCCACGGAAGTCAAGAAAGCTGCAGATGAAGCCAAGATGAGGTTTGCCCACATAGATGGCGATCATCTAACACTGCTGAATGTGTACCACGCCTTCAAACAAAGTGAGTTTTCCTAACGTATTGTTCTTGTCTCTGTTTATGTAATGCAAAATGCTGAAGGTCAGAAATTTTAGCCAATGGGCTTTCATCTGAATCGCATTAAAATGCCCCTTATAGACAATTTTGTTTGCTTAAAGGAAGCATGTGGAAGAATTCCAGTGTTTGGGGGCACACCACACTAATGCATGTAAGATATGTTTTTATTATAAGTTGGTGTGAAGCTGCCTAAATCAATATGATTTTAGATGTTTTATTCCTACATGGGCTGATTTGATTAACTTTGCCTCATAAAGTGTAACAAAAAAAACCACAGGCAAGGCCTTAGTCTCGTTTTGTGTATTTTACTTTATCAGCCAAAATTGCTTCATACTCGTACTACCCCTCCACACCTTTTTTATAAGAAGCATTAGTGATCTCCAGTTCTTTCCTCTTCCATCTTATTCAGGGTTTCTTGACATTTGTTCATTTGTGTTTGTTCATGTAAAAAATATGCAACCTGTATTCTTATTTACCACATATGGCACCTTACTATGATGCTATGTTAGTGGTTGTAGATACTGCAAGTCTCCCACATCACTGCATACTCTGACATACACTCACTTCTCCAGGTTTTTTGTGGGGCTGTTGGAGTCCTCCCTTCCCAGCTAAAGATAGTCGGTGCTAAATCACCTGAGAACAGGTGTTTCCATAATGCCACGACTAAAACCTCTACATACAGACCCGTCCACTAAACAGTCATGCTGCTTCTAGTGCCTATCACTAAAGAAGGTACTGCATATAATTCTGAGAGTCTGTATACGTACCGCCAGTCAAACGAGTCATCAAACTTTGAAAACATTGGCCTAGCCCTTTCATGCCAAGACAAGGGTGCTTGTAGAAGTGCATATTGATATAAGCATGCTCATTGGATTAAATGTCATGAGTACCACTTTGATGTTCCTCAGGTGGGTTTGGAGAAGTGTGGAATTTCATTTTTTACCTTTGCTTTGCATTTGAAAGGCGCACTGTTTATCCCAGCCACCTGAAGCATTTAAATCAGTGTCTGCTCCTAAGGGAAATTGCAGTTTAATTTCACTGATGCATTTATAAAAAGGTATACACAGTACCAGTTTTGATAAAAGTGGAGAATGTTAACACGAATATAAATAGTTCTACTGATGTGCGGACAGCATCACTATTTTATATATTTGCAGGTAGCTAATGATGGGCCAGTGTCCAACAGACTCCATTTTCAGCAAATGCTGCCTGGTAAAATCCTCTACTAGCTCTTGTAATATGTTCCCAGGCATTAGCATATACTACTGCTCTTTCTGCCTGTTTGTTTTTAGCTAAAGAACTGGAGCTGTCAAAGGCTCCAAGGCGGGTATAGGAAAGGGGGGCACAGGTAGGATTTCCAGTGTGATGAGTGTCCCTTTTAAACCCATTTTTAACCACCTAAGATATACATTGTTGTTTGGATCAGTGTGTTTTCCAATGAAAGTTGGGAAAGTCTTATGTAGCAAAGTATTTCGGATTTTTTTTTTCTTTCCCCTCCTCTGATCAAGGTGTCAAAATCTTCTTCTTTCCCCAGATCATGAGTCGTCTCAGTGGTGTTATGACAACTTCATTAACTACAGGTCCCTGATGTCTGCAGACAATGTACGGCAGCAGCTGTCACGAATCATGGACAGATTTAACTTGCCGCGGCGAAGCACAGACTTCACAAGCCGGGATTATTACATTAATATTAGAAAAGCTTTGGTTACCGGCTATTTTATGCAGGTACGTCTAAGCGTCTGTAGAAGGAACTTTGAATTCCTGCCTTTGAGGTTGAGCTCAGATGGGAAATAAATTGCATAAACGGTTATGAGAGTGACTAAAATCATATAACAAGGTCTTTTAGGAATTCATATGTGAGAACTGGAGGGACTTGAGAAAGTACAAGCAATTAACTCCACATAAATGGATCTTGGCCTCCCTACTGATCTGTGATATGAAGAAATTAACTCCTGATGTTCACTTTGACTCGTGCACTTGTTTTGCTTTTTCAGTCACTTGAATTAGATGAAATTACCTAGCATATGGCACATTGTCAAGTATGTCACCTCATATTTAGATGAGTTCTTCATGCACAGAAATGTATCCATGGTCTACTGGGAATTTTCCATCAAGGCCTGCTCAACATGCGCTTCTTCTGAATCATTGACATTAGCACTTCCTAATAGTCATTTTCTAACCTATATATTCAGCCCACATAACTTTACTGAATGATTATTCATAAAGGACATTTTAAATGAGGGGAAAAAGAAAAACATGGAAAATAATTGTGTCCTAGTACTTAATCAGCGCAGTCTGCTATAGCCTAAGGCGCACAAGTGGAGGATCTTGCAATCCATCTATCCCATATTTTCTGAAATTTCTTGTCACAAGCACAATGTTTCTAGATCAAACGTTTAAGAGGGAGATCAACATTTAACATGTGTTTCCATTAAGCAATAGTAGGGGGCAGTACCTGAATCCATAATCTGGCTATCCGTTTCTTGGCAACATAGAGAGCTTTCTGTATAAAGAGATTAGTATATTTATCAATGTTAGCAGTGTCCTAAACACCCAAGAGACACATCTTAGGATTCAGGGTCACAGGAGAACCCATTTCATCATGGAGAAACTGAACAATTTGTCGCCAATAATCTAACATCACAGGGCAGGACCAGAGCATATGGTAAAAGGATCCCGGGGCATTCTGACATTTAGAGCAAAGGATTAGAAATACAGATGTTCCTCACTTACCGACTTACCTGTTTTGCGACCACTTGCACTTACGACGGACCGCCGATCGACCTCCGACCTCGCGCGTCAGCGCGACGGGTCGCCGGCGGAAGTGACATCCCCCGATCTTCACTGCAGGTCTCGGTAAGTATTTCCATTGCCGGATGTACAGTACACTGTTCGGTACTGTACATCGGCAACGCTATACAGTACTGTCCTAATGCAGTACAGTACTGTATAGTGTTCCTCACTTAACGACCAATCCGTTTAACGACCTGGTCGTAGGAACGGAACTCGGTCGTTAAGTGAGGAATACCTGTATGTTTAATTTTAGATAGTCTGATAGGGGTATGATAAATAAATACGTTTGTAAGAGTAGCGCAGAGATAGGCTTATGATTCACCATTGCTTGTTCCTAGTCCTCCTTGGATGTTACCCACATCCGATTCCCATGCTGACTTCTTGGCTAGAGCAGTCCTGGAACTACTAGAGGTTTGAAGTATGTTGTAAAGAGAGGAGATCAATTTAGTGGAGCTAGGGGGCTGTAAGGGCATCTCAAAGGGGATTATCTAAAAGTGTAGATGGAAGTAAAGGGAGATGGTCTTGAGCAGCATGATGTAATTGCAAATAACGAAACATGATTGGGCAAATTAAATACCATTTGTAGGCTAGAGAAGGAACAACAAAAAACCTCAATCGTGGTACTATTGCGGCAAAATGCATCACATTGCAGCTGCGCAGACGCATACAGTTCTGGTGTGAACTAATCCTCGGCTTTGCATAATGCCTCCACAGAGTCTCGTTTTAATGTTATTAGTTTGGCTAGGGTAAAACGTTAATGCCCCTTGAAGACCTCCCAGGCCACCAAAGGGTTAGTTGTAAGGTAAAAAGCCCATTCCTCTGACAGAGAAGGCTACTCAGGAAATAGTCAACCAGAACAGGTTCTACTTTCAATGTGGAGGAGGATTGCAATGTACTTCACAGGGGTTGTGAGCCAAGAGGTCTGCTGTAAATCGTGAAATAACCCTGCCTGCCGCCTTAGCAACTGTGTCACCAGCAGCAATGGGCTGGAACACTGAGGGGAATTTATCAAACCTGGAGCAGACGGAATCTGGAGCTGCTGCCCATGGCAACCAATGAGCTTCTCTTTTCAGTTTGTTTTGTTAAGATTGGAAAATAAGAGAGAAACTGATTTGCTGCCAAGGGCAATGCTCCAGATTCTGTGTGCTCCAATGTTGATTTCTCCCCACTGGCTTTAAGCTGTCGACCACAATGTGTTGCCTTTATTCTCTTGCTCTGCTTTGGTGCAGAAAGTGATGGTCAGTTAGACGCACCATAGGCAATTTCTTTTGCATAACCCATTTGAAAACCTTCCAAGTAAATGTTCATGGGTTGAGCTGCTATTGGCTGGAAACAGACGTGTCCTTTTTATTAAGTTTGCGATTCAGGGATGGCAGTTTTGTGCTGCTACATACTGGTGACATCCCTGCAGCTGTACGAGTCTTATGATTATTGACTGGAAAGATTTCTCTGTGCCCTTCAGCAATGAAGCGTAAATAAACTTTGCTATCTGTGTGTACGTTTTATCGAGCGGCTTTGTAAGAATTATAATCCTTTTAATTCTAACTGTTGCGTTTATCTCCTCTCATAAGGTGGCACATTTGGAACGGACTGGCCATTATCTGACCGTGAAAGACAACCAAGTCGTGCAGTTACATCCTTCAACAGTTCTGGACCACAAGCCTGAGTGGGTCCTGTATAACGAATTTGTACTTACAACAAAGAACTACATCCGCACATGCACAGACATAAAGCCTGAATGGTATGTTCAAAGCCTTCAATCTATCAAAACGCCAAAGCCAAAAGTGTTCTGTTACAGATTACCAATTCTGAGATGTGGCTTTTTCCCCATTATTTTAGCTTGGTAATCCAGCCAGTAAGTCTATTATTAATGGGAACTCCAATAGGGAAGTCAGAAGTGGAAAAAGATTTGGGGGTCATAGTTGACTGCAGATTACACAATAGCATGCAATGTCAGGCTGTGGCAAACAAAGTGAGCAGAGTACTGTCATGCATTAAAAAGGGAATGTACTGTAGAGACAAAGCTATAATTTTGCCACTTTACAGTTCGCTGGTCCGGCCTCATTTGGAGTATGCGGTCCAGTTTTGGTCACCTATCCACAGAAAGGATGTCCTGGAGCTGGACAGGGTACAGCGAAGGGCAGAAAAACTAATTAAGGGGCTGGAAGACAAAAGCTATGAGAGAAGGTTGCTAAATGTTACATTTGTTCACTCTAGAAGTCAGGTGATTGTCATGTACAAATTGATTCATGGTGATACGAATATCATCGACTTTTTACTGTAAACTCCCTAAAGATAACTAAAGGCCACCTAAAACTGGAGGAAAAAAAGATTTAACCACAAGGGGCGTACGGGCTTCTTTTCTGTTAGAAAGATAAAAAGGTGGAATGCTCTGCCCTAAGAAGTGGTATCAGCAGAGTATTGCATCATTCAAAAATCATTTAGATACCTTCCTCAGAGACCACAACATACAGGGGTACAGATACTCTTAATGACTGGAACACACTCACTCCATGGACCTGGATCTTTATTCAACCTCCGATATTATGTAACTATTTTTAAATTTCCTTTAACAGACCAAGCTGTCCATGGTTGAGACTAACCATTTAACATTGACAGGGGTGCTTGCAGTGGTCAGAGTTTATTTATGTAAAACCTTCATCCCAAAGGAAAAATAACTGCTGCTTTAATTGCTTAAAAAGTGTTAGCTGGAGTTTGGGTATAATTTGTTAGTCAAGTCCATCTAAAGGTGCCCATACACCTTGCGATCATCGGACGATTTTCATACGGCGGCCCCATCCTGCCCCGCAAGGTTGGATCAGCTGTAATTAGAAGGAAGCACCTAGACGAATTGCGGTAATCGACAGCACATATTTTCCTCTAGATCGTACGAATTTTCACAACCTTGTGAAAATCGTACGATCGACCGAAGTTTTCTAACCTGCTCGTTAGTCAAAAGTCTATCGATTTGTACAGTATTTGCGGTTGTGCACTGCCCATCAACCTTACGAATATCGGACAAAAACGCGATTGCATACGAAAATCGGCCGATATTCGTAAGGTGTACGGGCACCTTTTAGTCTGCTAGTGCATCACACTACCCTCTCCGCACGGTGACAATGCTGCTGTCCAAGGGCAGCTACGTTGCTTCTCCCTACAGGGTGAAAATAAAGAAACCAAGCCTAAGAATGAAGACTAATGCAGCCACCACATTTAAGGATTGGTATGCTGCAATATAGTTGTATTTTTGTGTTTTTATTCACAGCAGTGCCTGTGATTTGATATATTTTAGTACATTTTGGGTTTTCTTTTCAAATGACACAATCTATGCTTTAAAGTGACACTAACCTTGGTAGTTAAATATTAAAAATGCATTCAAGTACCCTAACTATGACACATGCAGCTTATTTGTGTATTGCTCAGCTGTAGAGCCTCAAATCATCTCTGAACTTGTGCTGGCACTGCCCTTCCTTCTGGAGGGGGGCTACTTTTGTTCCCCATGGTCCCTGTGTGTGTTGTAAAGTAGTCGCCACTCCAAGCTCACTCCGGTGATGGTCTAAAATTTCACGTTGTATTGAGATTGTAGTCCATCACCGGAGCGAGCTTAGAACAGTGGCTACTTTACAATGCTCAGTCTTCCAGTGCCATCTGAATACAACAAAACCTGGATGCAATCTCTTACATACACTGAGGTGATTTTGCTTCCTTATACTGGAAACCTTAATCCGCAGTGTATATGGAGCCTACATTTATGCCAGGACAAGATCCCAGAGGGTCATTCTGTTATTACTTTTTAGGTGACACAGCAATTCAGTGACTGTCAGGTAATATGGCTACTACAAGAGGATTTGGACACAAAAAAAACTTGTTGCCTGCCTAGATTGACATCTACTCCCAGCATGCCTTATTTTATTTGCTAGTGTTCTAGGGCCCATGGGTCACTTGTCTGTAACCATGCAAAGGACCCTCTGGTTAACGTGTGGAGCTGTGGAACCTCCTTGCAAGAAGCACTTGATTTGCATGCTCCTTGATGCACAATATCTCTGCCCTGAATATCCTTATTAAAAATGTTACCGGGGGGCAAGAGTACTCTCCTTCCCCAGCAAAAGAGGCCTCAATCTAGGGGTCTCTCCTTCAAATGCTAAGAAGAGTTCATTACTCAAACCTTAATTTTCAAAGCCATATCTAGATCTGGACCCCACCCAGCTGGCAAACCTTAGAGTTCAAGATCCTCCGGTAAATCTTTTGGCATCAGCGGGTGCTCCCACTTTCCAAAATAGGGGCAATCTGTTAGCCTTTCCGGACACTTGAGCAACCAGCATCTTTGGATTCAGAAGGTGGTTTCCAGGGGCTACAAACTAGAGTTTTGCTCACAGACCCTCCCCAGTTCATTTCTTCCAACCTGTCTGCGTCATGGCACAGGTAGGCAGATCATTTCCGTGTGGCTAAAGGCTCATTGTCCCATTTCCTGCAGGAGAATGGTTCCTGGGGTTCTACTCCAACCTGTTTATTCTGAAAATCCACCAGGTCTGTCATAGCCTCCCCTAATCAGGGAGACTTTCTGGCCTCCTTGGACATCATGGACACTTACCTGCATGTTACAAATTTTGAAGCACATCAGGGATTTGTAAACTTTGCTGTGGGCCCACTACATTTTGAGTTTGTAGCCTTACCATTCGGCCTAGCTTCTGCACCCTGAGTATTTTCCAAGGAGCTGGCTCTTGTGCTTGCCATGCTGGGGCACATGTCCCTGGTGTTTAATGTAGCCCTGACTGTCCAGACCTTGCGGCAGTTCGGATTTGTCCTGAATCTTTAGAAATTATCACTTTAACAGACTCCTTGTTTGGAGTATTTGAGTCTAATCCGAAACACGACAGTTTTCTTGCATAGGAGAAACTTCAAACTGACCACTCTGACTTCTAACACTTCAGTTTAGAAGTCACCCAACTTTTGGACAATCCCAACTGTGAAGAGTCATTTGATCCAAATTTGGTTGGACAATGCCACAACTGTGGCATACATCGTCCACCAGGGAGGAACCAAAGGTATCACCTCAGCTGGGAGCAGGCATGGTCATACTGGACTGTCCAACACTTTTGCTTGCCAGTGGGCAAATTCTCCTGTAGGTGTCGGTATAACCGGACAGTGTTTGAATTTGTGTGCGAGGTTCAAAGCTACTGTCTCTCTCTCTCTCTCACTCACACACTCACACACACACACACACACACACACACACACACACCTATAGGGGAAGGGTTGCTTAAAGTGTCATTTTGTATCTCTGGTCTGTTACATATAGTTACATAGTATTTGAGGTTGAATAAAGACATTAGTCCATCAAGTCCAACCTATTAGGATCTCATTCTAGGAGTACCTGTACCCCTGTATATTACGGTCCCTTAATGCAGTGGCAGTGGCATAATACACATTGAGGGGAATTTATCAAAACTGGAGCAGCTGTGCATGGCAACCAATCAGCTTCTCTCATTTTCAAATCTTAACTGAGCAACCCTGAAGAGAGAAGCTGATTGGTTGCCCTGGACAACTGCTCCACATTTAGTCTGCTCCAGGTTTGATACATTCCCCTGAGGATGTATGTTTCAGGTAATGCTGTGCCATTCCAAGTAAAGTACATCAAATGTTGGTTGTATTTGATTTGAACAGGTCCTCATTTTCTTATGCCAGAGTTAACTTTCTCTTTTCCACCCTTCAGGTTGGTGAAAATTGCTGTCCAATACTATGACATGGGCAATTTCCCTCAGTGTGAAGCAAAGAGGCAGCTGGAACGGATTATTGCCAAACTTCAAACCAAGGAGTACTCCCAGTACTGAGACTGAGCCAAACGTCAGCGTTTCTCCAAAGCGGCTTATGGAGAGAGTATGGACTGATAAATTTGTATCTTATGTGATGGTTCAGTGATGGCCTTTATTTGAAAGCTTTTTAATTGGTTTTTTTTTTTCCTTTTCATGACATTAAATCTGACACTCTTTCATAAATGAAACATTTATGGCTCCCCTTTGTGTTGACACTGTAGCTTGTACTGGAAACGTTGATCAATGTTTTGCAGTTTATTGGAAGTAGTTCTATATATAACAATGTTATAAGCATTTCTCTAGAAATGTCTGAAAATGCTTCTCCAATGTGATCAAACCTTGTTATGCATGAGTTGTTGTAACTGTTGACATTCCTTTTTAGAAGTTGTGAAATGTTACAACTTGTGCATCTGTAGACCCAACCATCAGCCTCAATGTGGAGGCACTGGCTTCAATAAAGTCTATTTATACTACTTGTGGTGGTCATTCAAACAAAAGTTAACTTTACATTTACAAATCTAAGTCCTAGCATTTGTTTACATGTAGTTCTTGTTTGTGATGTCTTTATGGTAAAAAAAAAAATATTTTTATTAAAGGGAAATAGTCTTTTTTTTTTTTTTTTTTGAGTGGTTATGTATTGGTGGGTGTGCATACCATTTCACACTAGTGCCTTCATGTCTAGTAGCCAGTACCACCCCTCTTTCCACTGATGTCATGACCATAAGCTTCTGGTATTATGATTGGATGGACATTTTAAGGGTTCCTGCAGTGTGATTGATGTAGAACTTTGTCATGCATGAGATCATGGCATCCCTCCTGATAGAGATGGTGAAGGTAGGGCCGTGTCACCTGCAGTAACCGGATGGCTAGCGGAATCAGCAGGGAGAATTGGCCAGTAACAATTGTTTTCTAAAGTAGTCTTGTGTGAAAGTTGAGGTAAAACAATATTGTGTTTTGACAATTCATCCCTGCCCTCCTCTCCATGCATTGGGTGACCTTCTTACCCCCTGACATTTTAAGTTCTTATGCTACCTACAGGACTGGACACAGGCAAGCAACAAATTGTAGGCTTACCCAGGATAACCCCTCCCACTACCAGAATACCTCAGGTGTTTGTTTTTTTTGCTTGTGTCCTACTAGAATGGATGTTGTCTTTTCAGCTCTGCTGTTACATCTAAGAATTCTTAACACTTTTTTTTTTTTTCTGCACTTTTCTTCTGTCCAGACTCTTCTCACTGCTGGAGCTGGTGTTTACTCTTGCAGCTACCTGGCGTAGCTGTCCTCAGTCTGGCTTTTGGTGTGCTGCATCTGCACCCGACTGGACATTGTGGTGATGATATGGAAGTGACCTTTGGGCCACTGAGCTACGTTAGGCCCCGTACTGGTAACAAGTTGGCCATGGAGAGCTTCCAAGGATCAGAGCCTCTGGCATTGCCCCAGCAGTTGCCTATCTCTAAAGATTTACTCTGTAAGCAGGGGGATCAGGCTAAGTAGCAGAAGCTTGCCCCACTAGTTTGGTAATTGGACACCCCTGAAATTCCTGGTGTCCACCAGTTCTACAGTTAAAGGGGTTACTGCTGAGAGACTGAGCTCTGTTATAAGCTGGGTGGAGTGTTTCATGTTATGCTGTTTCCCACCATACAGCATTAGATCAGATCAGATTCAGATTTATTTGTCACGTACATAATCGTACAAGTATGACATGCAGTGAAATGCTTACACGACTGCAAAAAAGAGGGAGGCGTAAACGGGTAAGGGGGAAAAATCAAATATAATATAAAATATTTCAAATTTACATTGACAAAAGAGAATACAAGTATTAAAAATTAAATTAAACTAAATGCAAACTCAAATACAGTGTAAAGTGTGCGGGTGCAAACAGCAGCAATACGGGGTGAATGAATTAAGATGTTGACCAGCAGTGTATTGACCATTCTTTTAAAGTGCAGATGTGCAGTAAATTTGAGTGTAAGAACATTAGTCTAGTCAGGCAGTAAAGTGCATGTCTATATAAAGATCTGGTTGAGAGACCGTATAGCCTGAGGGAAGAAACTTCTCAGTCTCCCTTTAGGGAGCGGAAGCGCTTCCCAGACCTCAACAGAGAGAAAAGTCCATTGTTGGGAGGGCTGAGGTCCCTCACGATCTTCCTGGCCTTGGTCCAGCACTGCTTGCTGTAGATTGAATTCATGTCAGGGAGCTTAGTACGGATGATGCTCTCAGCCGATCGCACCACCCTCTGAAGAGCTCTTCTGTCCGGCATGGTGCTGTTCCCAAACCAGGTTGTGGTGTTTCCCGTCAGGATGCTCTCTATGGTGCAGGAGTAAAAATTCCTAAGCACCCTAGCGGGTATTCGGAAGTCTCTCAAGCGTCTAAGATGGAAGAGACGCTGCCAAGCCTTTTTCAACATGGTGCTGATGTGACAGGACCATGACAGGTCCTGCGTGATGTGTACACCGAGGGATCTGAAGCTATCCACCCTCTCCTGGGCTCTCGTTGATCATGGGGGTCTGGTAGTTCCTCTCCTGCTTCTTACTAAAGTCCACTATCAACTCCTTTGTCTTGCTGACATTGAGGAGGAGGTTGTTCCTCTGGCACCAGTTCTCCAGATTCCTAATCTCCAGGTAGGCCGTCTCATTGTTGCCGGTAATCAGTCCGACCACAACGATATCATCAGCAAACTTGGTGGTGGAGTTGGTAGTGGCCATACAGTCATGTGTGTACAGTGAGTACAGCAGGGGGCTCAAAACACAACCCTGAGGGGCTGAAGGGTGAGGGAGGCATTAACCTCCCTGGCGGTAATCCCGAGTCTGGCTCAGTGTTAATTTTCAATGCTAGGAGCGGTAACCCCGAGCCAGACTCGGGGGTGCATGGAAAAGTGACACTCACCTTGTCCCTGCGAGCCCGCGGCGTCCTCTGCTGTACGCGGCTCTAAAATTAAACTAAAAGCCGGCATCTGACTTTTAGTTTCGTTTTCGAGCGTCACAGCCGGGAAATTCAAAAGTGAAAAGTTGTAATGTACATAGAATACACACAATACAAGGAAACATCTCCCTGCTATTGCTCCTGCTTGCAGAAAAGCCTTGTGGAACTTCGATCCTCCGTTTTGTACCTATTCCGTCTGTCTGACTTTAAATAGTATCAGGTGTCTCGGTTTTGGGAATATCTGAGACCTTGCTCATAGCCTAAACTTAGGTTGCCTTATCTACAGGGTTGCAACATGTTTGTTCCTAGACACAAAAGGGGACAGTCTTGCTGCAACAGGGACGTTTATTCTGTGCCTTCTAAAGGTGCTTATGTCTGCAACCTAAATCATATTCCTGTTGGGCCATGCCAATAGTCAACTAGTCATCAGAGTCCTCCCTAGCTCCGTTTTGTGGGGTTGAGTCCTCTACTTTGTCGACTGGGTCTCTGCTACAGTCACAGAAGACTTTGTGTCACAATCCACCCAGTTCCTGGCTGGCATTGCAAAGGGTTTAAGCATATATTATCGGTGAACTAAAAGAGGGATGATAGCAAGGAATAAAAGAATAATACTCCCACTTTATAAATCACTGGTTCGGCCTCATGTTGAGTATGTGGTGCACTTTTGGTCACCAACTCCAAGGAAAGACATCTTTTTGGCGTGAGAGTCCAGATGAGGGCTACCAATTGAAAGGGATAGAATTATGAAGACTGCCTCCAGCAAATAAATGTATTTACCTTGGAAAAGAGGCGCTTTAGAGGGGACCTTATTGCAGTCTTTAAAATCATCAATGGGGGACCCCAATATTCGGACCAAGTTTTCACCGAGAATTATTTATTCAACCTCACCTATGTTTCTATGATTATATAGGATTCAGAGTCCTTCCAGTCTTTACTTTGCAAGATTTATCCTTGAGAAGCCACTATGGTCGTAAAGGGCATATTTATGCATATAAGGATGCTACTAATCAGTGGTTGGGAAACCTTATTTTCTTGCTTACAGGGCCCTGCCCATTGCCCCATTTTGGCTGGCTGACTTTAATTTGTCAAACCATGGCGGAATGTTTTGAAATCCCTTCACCGCAGGAGTGGATCCTTTTGCTAATACAACATGTGGAGCAAATGGCTGGTGCTTTATGCTTCAGCTGTGATGGCCCACTGGAAGCATCTTGCCTTGTCTCCTGTATAAGTCTTTTGTGGATACACCTACACAGAGCACAATTGTTCTAGTGCTGGTCTGCAAACCCTGCGTCCAAGTAACACCTGACCTGCAAGGTCTTTCAGTGACATGTCTTTAGACTGACTTGATGTTATTATCAAGGGTGTCACTGGAGGCAAGGCAAATATCCACCTGTCTCAGTATAAGAAGCCTACTGAGAGTTCTTCCAAATGTCCCCTGTATTGTGTCTCTACTCCTGGAGTATTCATGTCTTTGCCTCCCAAACTTGGTTTTCTGGCCACCCACAGTCTGAGGTAGGGAGCTTGCTAGACCTTTAGAAAAGCCTTCACCAGCATTGATCTTTACAAACTACAGGAAAGTTGGCTTTTCAGACATTTATGTGCAGAAGGTGTTTTTCCCAAGGATTCTATTTAAACTTTCACCTACAGCTCCCTTTTCATCTTCTCACTTTCAACATTCCTGTATCACTACACAAAGCAGCAGACATAACTTTGCTTCTTTATGGGTCTCCTGAACCAAGGTGTCATTTTCCTAACTCTCCTGTTAAATTCTCGGGTTGTATTTCAATCTGGTCACTATTGGTCTTCCCAAGTAGAACATCTGCCTCTTTTGGGCCCTGTAAGTCCAAACATTTTGCACAGTATGCACCAGGTCTGCTATTCCTTCCCTTCCCCAGAGGGATTTCCTGTCATAGGTGGTCAGCATTAACACATCCTTACAAGTTGCTGCCCTTCAAGTGCTCTGACTTGTCAGTCTCATTCTTGCCACTCAAATGTTCTCCAGGATGCTAGCACCAGTGTTTGCCCTAGTGAGCTCTTGAGGCATCCCTATTATGGATATTTAGGTGATCTCCTTGGGAGGAAACGGTCAGCATGGGATAAACATTGTGTCTGAGGTCTCAACAATTCAATCTGACCCTGAAGCTTCAGAAATCACTGCTGGAAGTCTCTCTCAACCAGTGGGTAGCTTAAACTGGATGGTTTTTCCACAAGATAATCTTCAGTGCATCTGCTCTCCTTGTCCTTCAGTCTCGGAGTTGCCGGTCTC